GGCGTGGAGTTGGGGGCTCTTCTCATGGAGACACAACTGGAAGAAAGTGGGAGACTGAAGTGTGCTTTGAGGGCTGCCCTCCATAGAGTACCTTCTGTGGGCACTATGAGGAAATCTCTCCCTCATCTACCACCTGTTCTGTTTCTTTTTAAAAATCATGTTGTACATTTGAATTTATTTTATTTACTTATTGGTGTTAAGTATCAAACCCAGGGCCTTAAATGCATGCTAGGCCAGTGCTTTGTCACTCTCAACCCTGCACATGAATCTTTAAAAATAATTTTTTAAAGGTTTAAAACAGCCCAAATTTACATAAAAGTTGGAATTACAGTACAAATAATTTTTCCTTGAGTCATTTTGAGGGTTAAGTTCCCAAACTAATGCCCAATCACACTGAATATCTTGCATGTATTTCCTACAAGGATGTTTTCTTATTTAACCACTGTGCAACCATCAGAATCAGGAAATTAACATTGATACATTAGCTCCATTTAACTCCAGACCTATTCATGTTTTTGCCACTTATCCCAAGTGTGTTCTTTTTTTTTTTTTTTTTTTGTCTTTTTTCTTTTTTCTTTTTGTCTTTTTCCTTTTTATTGGTACCGGGGATCGAACTCACAACTGCCTGCTTGCAAGGCAGGCTCTCATGCCACTGAGCTAAACCCCCAGCCCCGCAATGTGTTCTTTCAAGCAGAAAAGGATGTGGTTCAGAATTGTAGTTGTATTTAATTATCAGGTCTCTTTAGTCTCTTTTAGACTTTAAACTTATCTTGACTTTGGTGATCTTAACACTTATGAACATTACAGGCTAGTTATTATATAGATTGTGCCTCAATTAGGGTTTGCTTGATACTTTCTTGAGGTTAGATTTAAGTTACACTTTTTCAACTGGAGTGTCACAGAAACAATGCTTTCTTCAAATGTATCCTGTTAGAAGGCTTGCAATTTTGATGTCCCATTATAAAAATTTTTTGTTTTTTTTTTATGCTGGGTCTCACTATGTAGTTCAGGATGGCCTTAAACTTGCTGTGTGTAGTGCCAGTTGGCCTCAGATTCACAAAAATCCTCCTGCCTCTGCCTTCTGATTGCTGGAATTACAAGTGTGTGCCACCATACCTGGTGTTGATTTTTATTTTTGATTAGTTGATTAAAGTGATATCTACCTGGCTTCCCCATTATAGAATTACTTCCTGTTATAATTAGTAAGCAATTCATAGGGAGATGAGAGTACTTGGAAACTATTTGAATATCTCTTAATAAAATTTAGTTGTATTTATTTATTTATGGACTCACTGTTTCGTGGTTGCTTCAATGCCTTGTATTCCATTATGCTCATAATTTATTGGCCAGTAGGAGTCCCTTCAAGGTGACTTTGTGTCCTTTCAGCATGTCTCCATACTTCTCTGAGCATTTCTTGCTTTTTGGTAGAATAGGGCGTTCTAAGCTGATTATGTACTTTAACTTACAACAGTGTGGAATTGGCCATTTCTCTACAGAGTGTGATCTCCTTAGCTGTTTTTGTGGAGAATGGTATTTATCAGGGAGCTGAGTATTAGGTATGCTTACTGTTATTCAGTGTTGCTGATCTCTGACTACCCTTTAGACAGAACTAAAAAATTTATATGCATGTGCGTATATATTTGTATAGGAGTATAGATATTCCTCAATTAACAACTGTTTACTGTTCAGATTTGTGAATGAGGCATACTGTTTGGATTTAGGACCTGGTACTTGGACTTACAACCTGTCTTATTTTGAACATTTCTGTACCTGTTGTTTATAGAGCTTCCTTATTTTTTTTTGTTTTTGTATAGTATACTTTTAAAAAATATAGTACTGTAATTTTTGCTTGTACCATATAGTACAGTTCTATAGTTTTCTGTGTTGTTACACATTACAGTACTGCATGTACGAGTTATACAAATATAAGGTATCAAATTGGAGTTTTCTTTGACGATTTCTTCACTGTGAATATTGTAATACACATACTAATATGATTCCTAATTTAGGAATCACTTAACAATATAGATGCAGGAATGGAACTCTGTTGTTAAATGAGGACTGTTTATGTATATATGTCTACATACAGTCTTTATATTTACATCTACAATTGTGTATCCATGTTTGTATCAGAAGCCATAAGATCACACTGTTAACTGCCAGTTCCCATCTATCATCAAGATTTTCTTCCTTTCCATATTTTAACTAATTTCTTTAACAGTGAGAAACCAGGTTCCCATCACCTTTAATTTATGTCCTTTGCTCAATTCTTCTGTATGTAACTCATCTCCCATTGCTGAACACTGCCCTTTACCTTTCATGATTGCTTCTTTTATACTGCCTATGGATCCCTGCGTTAGACCACCCTCAACGTGAGTGCCCTCCACACCCGTGCCTGGCCTGGCACGGTGTGTAGCTTCCCACCTCTCCATGGACACTTTCCTCACCCTGCCTGGGCTCTGTCACTCCCCTTACCCTGTTGGCTCTCCCAGTTAGAATAGGTCCTTGCTTTCTCCTGCTGCATTTAATGGCTTTAGTAATGAATTTTTTGGGGAAATGAAGAGAACTAGATACCCTCTGTTTCTTCACTTGGGCTGAACTTGGTTGTTAGAAGTGAAGGAGGTGTAGTATCCAGTGACGGCTAACATGGAGGATTGGCCTCCTAAGAGGCCTCCTAACTCTGTTCTTAAGAGTTTCTACAAGAGATGCTTTTTGATGTAGGTGAAGTCAGGTGACAAAATAGGCCTTGTAGTCAGGAGGACCTCTGGATATCGGTATATTGTCTATAGATGGGATAAGAGATAGAAAAATAGAATAGATAGAAAAATAAAATGATGTATGGGAGGTCTAGGGCATGCTAGGGATATAAGAGATGTTGTTACTCTGTACAGTGCTTTATGTATTATTGGATTTATAGACCCACTTACGGGACTCTAGGGTTGGCCAGGTTGGCATAGCCAATTGGATAGTAGTAGTTATAACATTAAGCTAATATTTTTTGAGCCCTTTGGTGTTACACACTTTTTAGTGCTTTACATGTGTTGTGTCATTTCATTCTCAATTAAGAAGTAGGTACTCTTATTGTCATTTTACAGGTGAGGAATTGAACAGAGCTTGCCCAAGGTGCTGTGGTTGATAAGTAGTTAAGTCAGGATTAAACCTGGAAGTCCTTGCTCATCAGGAAGCTGAAATGTCTGTGGTGTTTAGCAGACAGGAGCTGGTTGATACATATACTGTGTTTCTATAGACAAATTTAAAACCATTAAGAGTTATAAAAAGTCCTTATGTGTGGGCCTGATTTTGAGAGATTTGAGAAAGTTCTAAGGCCCCGAGGGACTTTGGATTCAAACTGGAATGGGTAAGTGAGCATGCTTGTGTTCCATCTCAGGTTTTCTAGTACTGTTTATCAGTAAGTGATAAGATGAGATACTTTGGATTCTGGCTTTCAAAGGGATATTGGCTCTTTTGCCTTTTGTGTACACAGACTAAGGAGGTTGGACTGTATTTGGGAGGAAACTCTAAAGCAGTGCTGTGTTTGTGCAGGGTCCATGAAGAACATTATTTAAATTCTTTTTTGGTCTGCACTGAGTTTCCATGACATCTCAGTATAGGAATTGGACATTTGAGTAACTATACTAGCATATGTCTTGATAACTATGCAGGCAAATGATTGTGACTCATTTAGTGAGACAGGAGAGAGCTGAGAAGTGATATTTGGCATTGTCCTTTTCTCTTCAAGTAGTAGTGAAGTTCAGTGCCTTTCATTACAGTGCCTTGGAGTATGCCCTGGATTTCCTAGGACATTTCCTAGGCTGCGTGGAGGAAGCCTGGTGCTTACTTGCTGGCACTCAGAGGCGAGCCTTTGGTTCTGGGGGTATAAGGAGACACAGGCTGCTTCAGAAAGTATAAATCAGCCACTTCTGTACTGGGCGGTAAGATTTGGTGTCTGAGGATTAAATTTAAGGGAAATTTGAGTATTGAGTATAAAAGTGGGAAGGACATAGAATTTCTGCTTTGTTTCTGAGTGGGGAAGTTGAAGTTTTTTGTGAGTAAAACTTAAGCTTTGATTTTTATATAGTATTTAGTCCTCTGATGAACAGACATTCTGCAAATTTAAAAGGAAAATGTACAGGGAAAGTGACTGGAATTTTTCTTTCTTTCTTTTTTTTCGCACATGTTCACTCAGAAAACTTTACTAGACTTTTAGCAATGTTCCCATTACTGCCACATCTGGGTTTTCTCTTTTTCCTTCCCTATTTAAAAAGTCAGTCCCACAGTTGGTCAGGGCCATTCAGGGCCCCTAGGAGAAAGTGAGACCCAAGGCGACAGATGAGGAGGCCTGAGGCTTTTGCCAGCTGTGCTCTCCAGGACTTGTTCATCCTCCAGATGTTGCTGGCTGGTGTGGGGTTGGGGAGTTACTAGAGTGTCCTAAGAAAACTCCCTTAGGATTGGCTTTATTTGCTTTCACATGTTCAGGTTGGGAGAAGGGAGGGGGGTGTAAGGAGACACAGACAGGAGAGCCAAGGGCATGTGGCAGGCAGTGGAGCTGAGAAGAGGCTGGGGATTTCCCACTGTTTGTCTTAGGCTACGTAGCTCCTACGGCTGATTGTGCAACTGGGTCATCATCATCTCATGTTACTTTGAGACCTTTGGCTTTAAAGTTAACTGTTGTCACCAGAGAAGTGACTACAGAATTTTTCTCTGCTGTCGTTTGAACAAGAGCTCCATTTAAAGATGAAGGCCAGTGTTTATACATATTGTTTTGGGGAGGACGTGGGGGACTCAGAATTGTAAAAGTGCTGCAGGTGCTGGTGTCAGGGTCTTGAACTTTCGGAATGAATGCTGTGAGTTAGAAAAGGGCTCAGCAACACTGGGGAGTGGCTCATATTGCATGGATGTTCTTGAAGACTAAGACTAAATGGAATAGGGCCACGCTGGGAGGGAAGTAACCCAGGCTGTTTTTGTTTTTTGTTTTTTTTTTTTAACTTTCCTCCCCTAAGTTTTAGATGCTTCTGGATGTTCAATGCTAGCACCTTTACAGACTGGAGCAGCTCGATTTTCTTCATATTTACTTTCAAGAGCAAGAAAAGTGCTGGGCTCCCACTTATTTTCTCCCTGTGGTGTTCCGGAGTTCTGCTCCATATCCACCAGAAAGCTGGCGGCCCACGGCTTTGGCGCATCCATGGCGGCAATGGTGTCCTTCCCTCCCCAGAGGTATCACTACTTTTTAGTGCTGGACTTTGAGGCCACGTGTGACAAGCCACAGATTCATCCTCAGGTAACTTGTTTCATTGCTTCAGAAAACAAAGGGGTGGGCAAGAAGGGAGGGACCCAGAGGCGTTTTCTCACATCTTCCCGGTTTTTAGCTTCTATCTGGAGTTCCTGCCAGGAAGTGGGACTTAACCAGGGATGCTAGGGCAAGACAGAGTGAGAAGTCTTTGGGGGAGAACTGGGCGCATTCTTTCTCTTTGGTCTTAGCTTTTGGGAATCAAAACATTTCCCTTTCTTTCTTCTTCCTCTTTATTTTACCTTCCTTTCTCTCTTCTCATGCCACTGTTGCTTGTTCTTTAAGGAGTATTGTGGTAACCAGCCTCCACAAAGACCTCCAGGGATCTTTGTTTCTACATCTAGCAATAGAGTATAATGAAATAGAATATAGAAGGAGAAGCAGTGTGTGATGTCTGAGGCTAAGTTACAAAAACCTTACTGCAGTCTGCTTTGCCCTTTTGGATGATGTGCTCTGGTGGAAGCTGGCTGCCATGCTACTCAAGCAGGTCTGTGGAGAGGCAGATTAATGTAGGAACGGAGTCGCTAGTCCAAAAGCCAGGATCAACTTGCCCTTCTGAGTCTGCCACCCCTAGAGAAGCCTTTAGATGACTGCAGTCCCAGTGGATATCTGACTTCCACTTCAGGAAAAACCCTTGGCCACCTGAGCCACCCCCAGATTCCTAACTCAGAAGAACTGCTACTGGTACTTTAAGCCACAACTTTTGGGGTGATGCGTTATGCAGTATTTTACCTGAACAAGTACCACTGTTGGTTTGGTGGAAAAATATTTTTTTTTTGGACAGGAAAATATCTTTGTTTGCTTTTTTTCCTTAATTACCCACTGTGTACAAAGATCATGTATCCTTTAAAGATAAGGCTTCTAGGAAGCTTGGGTTAGCAGTAGAGAGGCACCTGTGCTGGGTACCATTGAGGTGCTTGGTATTTGCTTTAAGAGAACGATCGGGGGCTTGATGGCAATTCATTGCAGTGCGAAAGCTTTGGGTATACTGGCTGTAGGTCTCTCACTCTTCTCTTTTATAGAGTGTATAGTATTTGGATGCATAGACATGTTGATCAGGGGGCAGTTTTCAGTAGTAAGCAGGATGGGGAGACGACCGCAGCATTGGGTACTTGGGAGGCAGGGAACAGTGGAGTCCATCCAGAGATAAACTGGTTTCACTTTTGATGGTGGTTTTTTCCAGAAAGGGATTTGTGTTTAAAATGGTATATTATTTCACCTAAAGCAGACACCCCAACCACTTTTCCTTTTTTCCTCTCTTTTTCCCTGTTCTCTGTTAAAGCAGTGGTTTACCTTTGGGGGATTGGAATCAGGTCTACTGAGGCCTCGGAGGACAGGGGCTGGATGAGAACAATGTCCCAAGAAGAACTTTGAAAGAGAACACAGCTTGGGCACTGCCCAAGCCACACTTGCTTTCCCTGCTTCATTCCCCTGTCTGTGCATCATCTTCTCTGCCTCCCCTAACTTCTGAAGTTTCTCTGGCATGGTGGGTGTGCCTGAATGGTGGGTTGTGACTTTTGGTTACATGTCTCCTAAGTTGGGACTCTGTGATCCACATCCTAATACTCTGTATTATTTCCCTTACAGGTTAAGTTTCAGTCACTGAGTAAGCCTTAATAGAATATGCATCTATTCTCCAGCCTATCTCTACTATTCACCCCTCTTTTGAACCTTCGTAATTGCTTGGCATCTCCATTATGGCATTTGCTGTTTTCTGCTTCCTGGCATATGCCTATAGATGTGTGTTTCTTATCTCCATATTTATATTTAACCTCAGATCTTTGTGTAGCTCTGTTCTCTGGTCTGGTAGAAGGTCCTGCTAGGGTTCCTGAAGTTGGGGCCTGATTGATGGCTCAGTTTGGTCTGTCAGTGTCACCTTTGATTTCTTGTTCAAGGGCTTGGTATTTATTTATTTATTTATTTATTGCAGTGCTGAAGGCATAAAGCAGTACAGATTCAATCCCTTGTACCACCAACTTTCTTCCCAAACTTACCATGCCTGTCTAGACCCAGGCTGGGTTAGAGCTTCATGTTGTTCACCAGCATCTGAGCCTGATTAAAGATTATCTCCAGAATCAATGAACCCTGATGATGTGATTCCAAGGGCACTTAAGGAATTGGCTGCCCTGGTTCATTATTAGCAGAGCATTAGCTGTTGCTTTAGAGAACTCAGAAAGAAACATTTGTTGTCTTGCTTATCTTTAAAAGAGGAATACGAATGATCTTGGAAATTATAGACCTATTAGTTTACTGTGATTCCAGAGAAGATACTTGACCTGATCGTCAGATAATCAATCAGCAAACAGCTAGAAGAGCATGGGTACTGAGTAATAACTTACATGGGTTTGTGAAGAAGAGCAAATCCTGTCAGATCAATTTAACTTCTTGCTGTGACATAGTGATGGATTTGAGTGGATCTAGGGCAAGTGATAAATGTAATATGTCTAAACTTCATTAAGCCTCCACAATGCTGTGATCAACAGGTGGACAGGTGAGTTTAGGACTACATGCCTATGTTAAACTACCCTTGTTCCACCCTCAGGAAGGGGATGGATATTTTAAGATTTGTTTGGTAGTGGCAACTCACTCCCAACCCCCATCTTCTTTAAGGTGTGCAAGTAGCAGGGTTCTGGTGGGATTCACAGAAAGCTTAGAATATGGATTAGAGAAGTGTTGAGTCCCAGACGGGATGGTGTCCTCTGAAGGAGGGCATCATAGCTCAGGTTCTTTTTAGAGAACTCTGTGTGTTTAGGTCTTCTGGTCAGCAAGGAAAGTGGGGAATTGGAAAAGTTTAGAATAAGGAACAAAAATCACTACAGGTGGAAAAAAAATAGGACTTAGGGAAGAAATGGAAAATAGTTTTGACGGCTGATTGCTTGTTCATTTTAAATAGTTTCATCATTTAGGGAGTAGTTATTTGTAAAAGCATGATAATAACTTACTTTTCATTTTAATAAAGACAAAAATGAATTTAAATGGAAGTAGGAAAGGCTGAGATTTGGGATGAAAAGGAACTTCCAGAAGAAATAGTAAAAGGACTGGAATGTGGTATGCAAGTTCTCCGCCTTCCTGCTCTTAGAATGGCACAATGGCTGTCCACTTGACAGGTTCTTCATGGCATGACTCCTGGGTGTGGGACTGGCATCGTGAATGAGAGTGGTCTCGGTTCCTTTCCTGACCAGTTCCTAGGAGCTTTCAGTGTTCCGGACTTCTGAGTAGTACACTTCTGATCCTTCTGGAGTGTTTCCTATCTTCGGGTATGTAAGAGACAGAAACAAGATTTGGGCCAGGACTTGTTTGGAGGGTCAGCATGGGGTCATTTCCCTCACTTGTCTCTGGTTTTCAGAAGTCCCTGAGGCAGCTTATTGGGACTATCGTAGTGGAATGCCACCACAAAAACTAACAGGTGCAAGCTTTGTTGTACTTGGGTAAGTAACAATATTGGTTATAAATATGGTACAACATCTAGTATTTTCCATTTGTCATCATTTTTGCTGTTTATTTTTGTACTTTGTTTAGCTAGGTGAAACTGGAATGTTTGGTTTGCATATAACAGGCTTTTTGTGTTCTGGTTTTCACCCTCATTGTATCTGTTGTACATGTTTTACTTCAGATTAACTTGATAAGTATTGGTTGAATATGAGACATTTTCACTGGAAATCATTTTTTTTCACTTAAATATTAATTTAAATGGTTTAAATGTTTTAGAGGCACCATTCTTATTTTCGAAATTGTTTTCTGTTATAGAAGTAGATTTTTATTTGGTTTAGGAGACTCGTGGTTCCTTTGTCCTTACTAGCTGGAGCTTGCATTGCTCATTTTGGTGTGGCTGTGCATCAAATGATGGTTGTTTTGACCCTGAGTCCTGAGAGCAGCCTGAAAGCTTCGGTGGGATCTTTAATTGTGCATCTTTAACCTCAGGGCAAGTTTTCTCACCGCCTCAGTGTTCAGAAGACACCAGAGCCAATGTAAGTGAGGAAAATGAGGTATAGGCCACAGCAAGTGTGGAGGAGGTAGTAACCTCAGCTGCCTGGATGGCTAGGAAGGGAGGAGTGGCCCAACGCTCCGCATTTGGGGAGCTGACGTCCTGCCTTCCTCCCTCCCTGAGTCCTCTCTGGCTGTCCATTACTGGATAGTGTTTCTCTCACTGCTCTGCAGCAGCCCTTGCCTACTATTTTCCTTCTAATCTGTATTCAGGTGCCCATAACTTTGGAGAAAAATGACCTTTGGGGTTGAGGTTTTTTAGTGTTTGGTCTTTGTCCATGGGGGCTTTTTTCTTTTTACAGAAACTTTGAAGAGACTCCATCTGCATTTTGAGTTAGAACTATGAGTAAAGGAGTTTCTCTTTTATAGAAAATTGTCCAGATGCTGGGCTATTTTTGGAGAGTGGAGTGGGGGAAGGGTTTATGGTGACAGGAAAAGGTATAATATAAATGAGAGGTGTTTGGAGGATTTCAGTATGACCTAAAGCTGGTACATCTTGACCATTCTTTTGTGAAAAAGATACATTTTTGAAAACTTCATAGGAAATTGATTTAGATTCCTACAAACCGAACTATATTGATTCCCCTTTCTCTTCATTCAAGACTGAAATGCAGGAGTTTCAACTCCTACCTTTCTCCCTACCTAAATAGATACTGCTCTTTGCTCCATATTTAGCTTGTTTCCTTCTCTCTGCTCTTGGTTCCTGCAGTCTCCAAATAGACAGAAAGGCAACCCTGGAAAGAACCCAACCTTTCCTCCCTGTTAACTTGTCCAGGTTTCAGCTGCTCCACGAGGGAGGGGCTGGGCTAGGGTTTTTAGCAAGAGAGCCCCGTTGTTGGATTTTGGTCCCTGTGCCTCGGTCAGCCTGCACTTTTTTCTGTACACACAGGCAAAGGCGCTGATACTATTCTTCTAAACTAGGAAATGAAATGCAAAACCGACGTTAATGTAACATTATGGTTGAGATTAAATGCACCAAAATCAGGAAATTCAAAGTTATGCTTCCC